GCAGTTTTTGTATTAACAGGTTTAAGTACACACTTATTTTACCTGGACCTTCGACAAGGTGCTGGCTTACTGTCCTCGTCGAGACATTTGGCAATTGTCCAAATTCTTCGCAATTACACTGAGGATTAGTGGCCCTCAGGTAATGCTTCGCTGACGATCTCTGCTGCTCGAATTGCAATGCTGTTGTACACCAGTTTATTAACAGTTGAAAGGCGGAACCAAAAAGCTAGAGCTCAACTCCCCTCAAGCACAACTAGATGAGTACAACAATGTGGTGTTGATTTAGCGGCGGCGACGATGGAGGGGTCGGATGCATTAGTTTTAAGTCATGATTTTCATTTAGTTCCACATGAAAGACTGATTAAAAAGATAGAGGCTCATGGTATTGGGTGTGCTATATTAAGTTGGATTAGGGCATGGCTATACCAAAGGAAACAGAGAGTTAGTATAAATGGGGTTAAGTCAGTGTGGGAAAATGTTGTAAGTGGAGTGCCTCAAGGCTCTGTCTTGGGACCTCTGTTGTTTACAATATATATAAATGATTTAGATTCAGGTTTGAGTAGCAACATTTGCAAATTTGCCGATGATACGAAAATCGGTAGGAAAATTAACACGGAAGAAGACTCACTATCACTTCAAGTTGATCTAAATAGGGTTTTGAAATGATCAAAAGATAGGCAGATGCAGTTTAATGCTGATAAATGTAAAGTTCTGAGGCTAGGTAATGATGATAGAGTTACAAGATACGAGCTAGATGGTGTTGAGATTGCGAAGTCGGATTGCAAAAAAGGACCTGGGAGTTATGATTAGTAAGAATTTAACACCAAAGGATCAATGCTTGAATGTTCGTAATAAGGCAAATAGGACACTGGGATTTATTAATCGAAGCGTTAGTAACAAGACACCTGGTGTTGTTCTTCAGCTATATCTTGCTCTGGTTAGGCCCCATTTAGGTTATGCAGTTCAGTTTTGGTCGCCGTACTATAGAATGGATATAGGTTCACTTGAGCGTGTGCAGCGTAGGATGACAAAGTTAATTCCTCAAATTAGAAATCTTTCATATGAAGAAAGATTAACAAAGCTTAAATTGCATTCACTGGAAAGGCGAAGAGTTAGGGGTGACATGATAGAGGTTTACAAGTGGATGAATGGACATAACAAAGGGAATATTAATAGGATATTAAAAGTATCAACACATGACAGAACACGAAACAATGGGTATAAATTGGATAAGTTTAGATTTAGGAAAGACTTGGATAAATACTGGTTCGGTAACAGGGTTGTTGATTTGTGGAACTAATTGCCACGTAAGGTGGTGGAGGTGGGGTCCCTCGATTGTTTCAAACGTGGGTTGGACACGTATACGAGTGGGATTGGGTGGTTATAAATAGGAGTTGCCTCGTATGGGCCAATAGGCCTTCTGTAGTTACCTTTGTTCTTATGTGTAAACCGCTTTATATTCATAAACATGGGGGTTTGGCGGCTGGGTTAACGAGCATTTGCGTTTGTTTATGAAGACGGGCTGGTTTATGAATGAAAATGGTTTACACACGACTCTACTGATGACGTTTGAACACTTCTTGAACACTGCTGGAGAAGAATAAGGCAAATTGGGGGGGAGGACCTTCGAGAAGCCGCCGGCTTCTTGTCCTCGTCGAGGCCACTAGGGTTAGTGGCCCTCGGGTAATGCTTCGCTGCCGACCTCTGCTCGATTCACAACGCTGTAAATTCTTCACTTATGTACTTCAAATACAAAGTCTCCAGCAGAACAGAGAATGATGGACTTCCAGCAGTTTTGTCTTTGGTTGGACTGCTTTAGCCAGTCGTTTGTCATTGGTTTTCGACTTAGTTTCACAAAATGACTGCACAACTATAGATACTATCATTGTTTGATGACAGGTTGTATACATACAGTACAACTTGCTTATTTAATTATATATATCTACCTGAATTTACCTGAGGGCCACCATCTCACTAGAGGCCTCAATGAGGACAGCAAGCCAGAGGACTGTCAAAGGTTTCCCCATTTGTCCTGATGATTTTATCGAGGTTTATCTTGAATTGCAGCAGTATTTTAGAATTTATGACAGGTGGGTACAAGAGGCGGACCTTGCTGTAGCTGCCACCGATTCTTCCACCTCCTAAGCCATGTACCCTGCCAATGTAAATTTGGAGGTACAGTCAAATATATATATATACAGTATACACAGTATACTGTATATCCATCCATCCATCCCTTAGTGGAGGAATATGCCGATCAGCAGGGGACTCAAATAGCCGAGTTATATCGCTGTAGTACTGTAGAGGTTAGGAAAGTAAACATGGCATGGTCTGTAAAGCAGAATAACGTTTCCTCTTCAAGAAGTACAGGATGCTTAAGGTGGTGGATATGAAGGCTAAGCAGGTTTCTATTAAGGCAAGTTCTCTCTGAGTAAAAACGTGGACAGTGAGGGAGGTGTTTTAGGATTCTAGGACTTCTTATGATTCTTTTTAATAGATGAATATCATGTTTAACATTGTCTTTATACTGAGAGTTTATTTTAGTAATGGACTAATGTACTGTCTATGACTTTGCCAGGCTAATACATGAACTATCAGCCAATTAACAGTACTACTTATTTTATTATATATATCTACCTGAATTTACCTGCAAATGTTACCATAACTTTTAATCAAGATACACCATCTGTTTATAATTTGCGACTGTTTATGAATAAATAATTTTCCTGCCTTATGACAAGAAAAACATTAAAAAGAACATCAAGAGCCACTATTGTTCTACTTTTATTTAAACTCGGACCATGATATTCATCATGGGGTAATTATTAAGATGGGTAAACGAAAATATTCTTGCATTTAATTTAAAGCAAGGGAAGAATTATGGAAATAAAATATTATAACAGTAACTAGTTAATGTCTTTAAAATGCCAACAGAAACAATAACTTTATAATAGATTACCCAAGGACAATGAAAACTAAAAATAATAAAGATAATTTATTTGTTATATATAAAAATAGTGTCACAAATGAAGATGGATATCCAGAGAGGCGAGTAACAATTTATAATGAATAAACATTCATTCATTATAAACTGAGGATGTTCTCTCAGTACATTAAAATGTAAACAAATAATAAAAAGCCTTAAGCCCAGTTAAAAATACTGTAGAGGATATTTAATGAATGATTAGAAATTACTGTACAGCAACTCAGTATTACATAAATTAATGCAATATCTGCAGTGTTGCATAATGTTTTATACATATTATGGTGTAATGCTTAAGACTTGCACTACCCATGTATATGGTTGATAAATGAATATTAAATACCACACAATAGGCACCAAAAAGTATAAGTTAATCATTTTATTTCATGTTCACCCTGTCTATAAATTTCCAGACCACATTTCACCATCCAGAACATGCTTGTATTCATTAGGAACAAAGACCACCACACATGTTGCACCTTGATAGAAGATTGATAGACAAGACCCAAGAGCTTAAGCTCAAACACCATAAGCACATATAAATTAGTCCCCTAGTGGCTTAGTGCTTGCTTTTGATAATTACTTATAATATAAGAGAGCCAAAATATCAAGAGATATAAATGCAGTAGATATTAATAGATAGAAGGTAGGGCCCATGAGCCAGATCTCACTCATCATGGACACTGTTAGAAGGCAAGACCTACACTCGTCCTTAAAATCAGGATGTTCTACAATAAGGTGCACAACTGTAAGTGGGTGGAACAGTGCAGTTCAAATAATAAGGAGCGGGGCATTCTTTCATTAAGTGCCCATGAGTTAAGCACATGTGGTCAATATGCTGCATAGTCACAGTTAGAATATGCTGCGTAGTCAGAGGCATACAGGGTTAAAGAGAGGACAAAAGGTTTTAAAAGACAATCTTGGGTTTTAATAAGAATATCACCCCAGAGGGTATGTCAACAGTTAAAATCACTAGAGATTAAAATGAGCAGTAGAGCTAGTAACACCAAGAAAAGGTGGAAGGATGATAAAAGATACTGTATAACTGCAGAAGTGGCCAAGGCAAGTGCACAGCATCGGTTCCTGGAGATATACTCAAAGGTTGAAAACTGGGAAATTAAAAGGTGCAGCTCATTAAAATTACCATTAAAATTGTATATATTCCATTGAATAATGAAATGATAAAGAACAAATACAAATGAGATGTGAAATAAAGACAAACATAAAATACAAAGAGTTGATTGTCACAAACAGAATCAGAGTAACTGGGGGTTAGTGCTCTTGGGCAAGTGTAGGTTTACAAAGAACAAAAACAGCAGTTGGCTCTGGAGTAAAGGGTTGCAACAACCAGAGGAATGGGGATGTTGGCAACACTCATAACAAGATTGGCAGGAAGACTGGAACAAGGTCAGGAGAGATGGCAGGGTCAAGAACTGAGGCCGCATTACCCTTTGGAAAGAAAGACGAGGAGGGATCAGGCTTACATTTCTGGCCAGAAGATGAAGGAACAAAGCTGGGAGCAATGTACCCTGTCATCTGGGGAAAGGGGGGCAATAAAGATCACTAAGTTTATCAATACTGTAAATTGTAGTAGGCCACTTCCTAATGTGGTCAACTAATGTGTTAGTAGCTACATAATAAGCTCATCTGCTGGATGCAGCTCCTGTTTATATCTTTTCAAACTCACTCATGAATGTATGTATGTATCAATATGAACTAAGTAAAGTGCAAAAGACCTTTTGGCCCATATGAGGCAGTGGCAGCTCCGATTTATATCCACGATATAAATAGGAGCTGCCTCACATGGGTCAATAGGCCTTCTGCAGTTTCCTTAGTTCTTATTGATATATACATACATACATACATTTACTGATACATTCACTTTATATATATATATATATATATATATATATATATATATATATATATATATATATATATATATATATATATATATATATATATATATATATATATATATATATTATATATTATTTATATTATATATATATATATATATATATATATATATATTTATTTATTTTTATTTATTTTGCTCATCTAGAAATCCAAAGTCAACGTTGAGGTGTCTTACTCGGACAGTGTATTTTGCTGACAGTGAGCTCTTGCACTAACATATGGAGCTGGGCTGCTAAGCACTCTACCTTTCTGTGCACAAAACTGGTTACAATGTAGATATTCAGTTTCTTTACACTTTTCTATAGCTTGTGCATCCAAATTAATAAATTCTACGAGGAAAAAATATTTTGTATTTTTGTTTTATTTTTGCACATGCAGATGTGTCCAAGTCCATAGCTGCATGTTAGAGGTTAATTATTAGTAAATTACAATAGTCTCTCTCTCTTCTGATGACTAATTTTTCCAGCAGGAAGACTCCAGGTAACCATCTATTTTTCCTACAAGTTCTTAAGAAACATGGTTCACATTGGAAAAGTACTGTGCAAGATAATGCAGCAAATGTAGCTGTGTAAACTAATTGATATTTATTGTTACTTTAAAAAATAACTCACAGCTTGAACAAACCAAACATAATATGCACACTTAAGTTTTAATGATAAATATAGTACTATCATTCATCTTAATAAAATATTTAAGAAAACAGACTACTGTCACACATAAATATGCAGATGAAAGACCTTAGTTTATGAGATGTTTCATATATTATCTCTCTTGCAAAGCTAAATGGTATGTATGAAGAGCATCATACTGTTTTGGTCCAAGCCAGATGTGGGAACGCACAGCTAGCATTTGAGCAACAGCAGCCTCAGGTGTCAAGTTGTGTTTCTGCAAATTATAAAATCTCAATACGCATTCTGTAATTACACACACATTAAAACTATATTAAATTTACCTTCAAATAATACAGTACTACTGCCAACTATTTCCACATACAGTACTGGGCAGAACAAGTTCAAAACAATCACTCACGTTTGAGTGAGATAGAAAAGTAACAGACCTACCAAAACACTTCAAGTCAAAATAATTAAATGAAATTTAATTTATATTTTTCAGCATACAAAGCCTAAAATCAAGACAAAACAAAAAAAGTTGAATGTAATGAAATGCCAATTTCTGGGTAAGCCCAGGTGGCTCCCTGAAGCTACACATTGAGATAGTTTCCATCTACCAGGTTGCATCAGCCATTGAGTTCTTCAGCCTACCAAGGACCAGAGCCAGAATCTGGCCCCCTCACAGAGGTGCAGGAAGTGGTCATATTTTGCCACCTCACCAGGAAATGCATCCAAGAAGTCAGTGATTCAAAACAAACCACTGCTTGGTTAAAAAGAGACTGAAGCCTCAAAACTCGCCTAATGAACTCATTGAACTAAGTAAACAAACACTCGAATCACTTGAAACTAGCATGAGCGCGTTCACCCTACCTTCCGGGGTCTGAGTAGTCACTTCTGGAGCAGATGCACAAACAAAACCTACCCCCTAATACCTGGAAGGGACAGGGCAAGGGTTCAGGAAGCCACTGGGGCTCAACCAGAAATTGGCATTTCATTACATTCAATGCCTGTTTTCTAGGGGAATAACACCCCCTTGCAGCTCACTGCAGCTAACTACCCACAGAGAAGGAAGAACAAATGGGAACTTACCAGGAATTAGGGGAGAACTGCAGGAGTCAGGATGAAGAATAGACCGCTGGACGAGAGAAATGACCCAAGGCCACACAAGGGCACTGTGTGGCCTTGGAACATTCACCATATACCAGGCTGCCAGAGCCCTGTTAGACCTCCAAACACCCATGCACAAATATTGGCCTTGGACATACAGTACAGTATTCGGAAACACAGCCGTGAGAGAGGCATACAATATTTTCAAACATCATGGACACAAGGGCAGACTTCAGGTTGACTGCCTGCCAGGGCCTGATCTCCCAGTTCTAGGGCAGATGTAGACATCCACCCGACGACCTGGGAGGGAGGAGATCAGGGAGATACTGGGGTTCGCCCAGAAATTGTCATTTCACTACATTCAATGTGGGTTGAATGTAATGAATCATTCACAAAGGGCTGGGGGGGGAGCCTCTTGTGGCTCCCTAAAGCTAAATACACACAGAAAAGGAAGAAAACCATGGGGACTTACCAGGGAGGAGGCAGGAGTCAGGACGAGGACGAGACCCCTGGCTGACAGACATGACCCAAAACCACACAAGTGCAAAGACCTGGGAACATCCACTAAATACTGGGCTGCCAGAACCCATTGACCTTCAATACGCTGCACCCAAATACCAATCCAGCACATAGCCAAAAGATGCAGCATATTGTACTTTCTAACATCATAGCATGCTGGTAGAAGGGGGGGAGCTGCGCACACATGTAGTGCAGCTCTTGTGACATCATGCTCGTTTGCTCGTTTTCATTTGAGGAGTTCAGTCCACTAGTTTGTTTATTTGTCATTTTAACCAGTATAGGGGTTTGTTTTGAGGCGCTTACCTTTCTGGGAGCCTTTCTCGGGTGATGGGAGATATGGAATGCTCCAAATCACATATGCATTTCTATAGGCTATTGCTCCTCGTGCCTCTCTGAGGGGGCCAAGTTCTGGCCGTGGTCCCCGGTAGGCTTAGAACTCCTTTCACACTGACTGAAGCCAAAGTCTAACAATATACATATCAGCCTGGATAGCTCCGGGGAGCCGAAGGGGGTCCCCTCAGAAAAGCAATTGAAAAAATGTGAAATGCACTCTTTATACTTCTGTATATAAGACTCCAACAATCAAACAGTATACACACTTTTCTCTTTGAACTTACAGCCATCAAGTAGCATGCAACAAGCGTAGCACTCCTCGTCCTTCCAGCCTTACAGTGAACATATACGCGGCCATCAACGTTACGAGAGTCAAAATCTTGGATGAACTCTACTCCTTTCTTAAGTTTCTCTTGACAAGGAGCTTCAAATATATCAGTTGTACTAAGCTGAAGAAAGCTGACACCAACACTTGCCCAGTCCTGTAGAAATAAGTGAAAATGAGAAGGCATATTCCTTAGCAAATTATTATTGTGCTTATTGAGAAAATCATTTGGAACAATGTAGGGACTTGAACCAGCATTCTAGTGACTTCCAGACGCTTGCCTTAACCCACTCGGCCATGATAGGACAAAGACGATTCAACCCAGAACTCTACTGAGGCCACTTCAAGAGTCCGGACTGGTGCCACAACCAGATTTTTACGAATAACCTGCCTAAACTCTGGACTGTGGGTAATGGTGTCTCCACCATATACCCCTCCTTCCGAACACAAAGAAATCACAATGGTGTTATATCAATGATAAAATAATTTAGATCAATGCAGGGAGTTGAACCAGCATTCTAGTGACTCTCAGATGCTTGCCTATCACTAGAATACTGGTTCAAATCCCCTCACTGCCCCAAATGATTTTTTCATTGATATTTCAGACTATTGTGATTTCTTTGTATTATGCTTATTAATATTTACAAGCCTTTTATATATGAAAGGCAGACACATGTAGATATCTAAAACACAAAATTATTGCAAATACATTACAATTCTGAATTTAAAATTTAAACACCTTAGTTCATATTTTACATTTTTATCAAGACTCTTAGAAAAAATAAATTGGATTATACTTGACTTCATTCCTATGGAAAACTATGTATTCACACACAAGAGTTCTTAAGCCACTACAAAGTGATAATGCAGTGCTAGTGTAGCCAAGGAGAAAAACTATTAGCATAGGACAGCGCACTCTTTTTAAAGCTCTAATACGGGTGCTTCCGTACAAACACTGAAGCTTAGTAATCTTTTGATCTGAATATACAATATGAAATGATACTAAATGTTGGACTTGAGAAAACAGTTATTTAATTTTGTACTCTAAATTATCTAAGCTCAATTTGCATGATTGCTATCACTTGAAAATTTGAAGGCTGTCTGGTGATAATAGATGTCAAATGCATCAGTTTTGTTTTGCTGCTATGGACTGCATATAAAAACTTAAGGAAAAGTATTAATATATTGAACATTCTTAGATATGAAAAAGATCACACTGAATGAATTGAAGTGCCCATTTTGGTGAGCCCTCAGTGGGTCCCTGTGCTAAGTGGTGGTATTGCTATGTCTTAAGAAGATGTCTCTGCAACCCACCCTTTCCTACCAGGAGCCAAGACCATATGAGAGGGGACCTTGGGGATTATAGAATAACCCAATACTTAGAAAACCTCACCAGGAGGCATGAGCACAACAAAACAAGGAACTGGTTTGAAACAATTAGGTCCTATTTTGCTGATAAACAGCCTGACCACAATGTGTCTGACCATCACCAAGCTGCAGCCCACATCACCTGGCATTACAACCTGCCTGCCTCCTCACTCTTCAATTGCGCAAACTAAACCCCCCCTCCATGCAGGAGGAGGAAGCGAGGTGAGGACAGAGTTACTGAGTTACTGGAGTATGCCCCAGAAAAGGGTATTTTATTACATTCAATGTACAATTTCTGGGACAGTTTCTCTTTGTAACTCCCAGAATTAACTCACAATGGTACTTCAGCAGAAGAGGCTGGCATATCTGAAAAAGAAAATACCATAATGTAAAAAGAAAAGTTAGCCAGAGCTTTCCCATAGGAGAAGACAGTAAAACATGGACCCAGGGAAGGAGAGGCAACAGTCACATCCCAAATGTCAAAGCACAATACAAGTCCAGAGAGGCAGAGAACATAGCAAGGAAATGAAGACATATGGAAACAGAAGAAACCAATAATAGAAGAATTGCAGTTGGGGGACCAGAAATCCATGGCTCAGAGCCTCAGCAACTGGGAATTGGATTCAAAAGGATTCAAAAGTCCTGGCTGAAACGACAAACATGGGAAGACCAAGGTCCAGAGGGAGAGGCCCGAGGGGCCCAACCAAAAATGGATGAAAAACACCTCTCTGCCAGCTGGGACCCCCTCAAAGATGCTGGGCACCAAGTATTCAAAGCAAAGGATAGGCTACCTCTCTCAACCTCAATGACCAAATGCCTACAGAGGGACAAAGTCAGAACTGAAGAGAAGAAATGACTCGCTGCCATGACACAAGCACACACTAGGCCAAAATGTGAAGCACCAGTATACACAAGGAGCAGAGCTAGGCATGATTGCAACACAAGCACACAGCTAACTACTACACTCTCCATCAACAGGCCTCACAGTGGATAACAAGTACTGTGTGCTCTTCAGAAGTGAGGTGACTCAAAAGGAGTCAATTTGTACAGAAGAAACCTGAATCCTTCAGAGCCAGTACAGTATGTCTTGTAAGAACAAGTAAAATGCAAGCTAACTACAAAGCTAGGGCACACATAATGTGGGTGACAGAAAACACCATCACAAAGAAGAAAAGAAATGGAAACTAGCAGATCTGATGTTCCAAAAACAGCCAAAACCACTTAAATAAAAGCACATAGCAGAGGATAGGCCTGTCACAGATTACACGATTAGGTAATTACCCAATTACATCATTAGGTAATTACACTTAAGTGATTACGAGTGAGGAGGCAGACTGGATAGTATCCTGGGTGATCTGGGCTACCATCTGGTGATGGTTAATGTATTTATCCAGTGGCAGCGCTCATTTACCCTGTTATCTTGGGGACCAATTTTTCTATAAGTAATAGGGTGTTTTGTCGAACTTGTGCTTTTTGTTGGATTTTACTAATTTTTTAGTTGATCTTTGATCCCAAAAGCTCCTTTTGCTTCATAGGGAGAGCCAGATTCTAGTCCTGGCTACCAGCAAGCTCTTAAGAGTGGGTCTCAGAGGCCTAGTGCATCTTCCTGAGGCATGCCAGTACTGTACTATATCAGAACTTGGAGTCACTGAGAGAGCCCTCCAACAAATAAATAAAAAAATGTTTATTTTCAAATTCAATATTGCACTATTCAGACTACCACTGTAGTCTGAATAATTACTGACAAATAAACTAAACAGTAAAGAATTAAAATTTACCCTCTTCATATTGGATAGCCATTTTAGTTCATAATCTTCATTCATAGATATTACTCCACAGACTTTCTCTTCTTCCACAAGCTGCAAAAAATAAATAATATGTTAATGTTGTATATATACAATACAATAAATAATACATACAGTAGTGTGTGTGGTGTGTGTGTGTAATTGCCTAAATGTAATTACCAATCTAGGATCACCCCTAAATCTTTTCCCTTGACTATTGCCTTTTCATAAAATTTTTTGATATGGACAGGTTTAACTTATCTTGGTTTTTATTATGTATTTATTATGTGCATCTGTCAACACTGAATTCCATATATGATGAATTGCTCCATGCTCATATTTTGTTTAATGTACTGTACTTTTGATGGGCATCACAGTACCTTTGGTCTTATAGTTCTTCCCAGTTTCTTAAAATCTTTAAACTCGCTCAAATATACATTAGTCAGTATTTTATCATTTATTTAATTACATGGTTGAGCTACCATAGTACACCCCTCAATCTTTTAAGTGACAGACTTTCGCACTCAATATCCTTCAAACGTTATCATTGCCTATGGCACTTATCCTCCTAGTACTACACATACTCCACAGATTGTACACCTATACTCCTCTAACTCTGACTACACTACAGTTTCACATTCAGGCATTAAAATGTCCAAACCACACATCAGAAAGTGGAGAAACGACAACGTTTCGGTCCCTCCTGGACCATTATCAAGCTGCATGTTTGATAACGGCTTGATAATGGTCCAGGACGGACCAAAACGTTGTCTTTCTCCACTTTCTGATGTTTGGCTTGGTCATCACATCTTTAGCCACGTTATTGTGACTTATCGTCTTCAGCATTAAGGTTATATCAATCATTCTGTCAAGATGGCCTCTAATCACATCTCTTTTTCATATTGTTCCTAACTAGAGTTTTCAATGCACCACCGACTTTCCTTCAATGACTGACTGCTCTTGACATTACAAGACAAATAAACTAATTAGTGTAGTTTCAAAGTATTTTGTGAACTGTTAGACTGGATGTAAACAGAGAATATGCATGTAAGACTTGTACAGTACAGCATAGCTTTCAAATTTTCTAAAGATTCCTGTGGTCAAGTTCAGAAAATGCATTGCACACTTACCTGCACTTTAGCTATCAGAAATATTTTGACAATATAGTCCTAAAAGGACTGTTTACAGATTATTAATAAGGAATAATAAATTATTATGTCAGGGGACAGCCAGCCAGAGTGTATATATACATGCTAGGCTTATATTGAGGTCTCCCCCTAAGATTGAATAACTAACCCCCCCCCCCTGCAGGATGAAACCACACAACAAGTTGACTAACTCCTGAGTACCTACTTACTGCTAGGTGAATAGAGGCATTTGGTGATAGGAAATGTGCCCAACCATATCTGTCCCTCCGGGGATTCGCACCCGGAATTCTTGATTGTGAGTTGAGAAGAAACCCAACTGTTGAGAGTTGAGAAGAAACCCAACAGTACTACAGTACCGGGACTCTCAAATTAAATTTTATGGTCCATTAATAATCACCCACAGAAACCTAGGCAACGATCTATGGCACATTAGTAATTATTATACGGGCTCACCATAGCCCGTGTTACTTGGAACTTTTTGTTCCAGGTAGCAAATTTTTAACAACAACAACAACAGTAATTATGATTTGACTAAAGTATTTACTTTCTTTGTCATTTTTCTTCGAATTGAAGAAAAGACAATGTTAATTGGTATTTTCAGGGGTTGGGTAGATTCAACTTAAATTACCTTTGGAGGAAACTAAACCAAAAACTGAGTTCTGCTTCTAGACAATTCAAATCTAATGATGTAAACATTATAATTATTACTGTATTACTGTGCTGTGGTTGGAGTTCTGAGCCCAGTGAACCACTCCAATCTAGCAATCTGTGAATGCCATTCTAACTGCTTTTATTAATTTCAACTTCAAACTAAGAATTAAACAAAACCTAATATTTTTAATTTATCTTAAATTAACCGTATGACAGATACTGATACTTGAAGCTCCCTGATCAGTCATTAGTCTACAGGTGAAATACTTGCTCCATGATGAAAACGTGTCAATTTTTTTTATTGCAATTCTTCTCACGCTCTAGAGTATGAATTTACTGTGTATGTAAACTGTATATATAGAGCCCACAGAAATTAAAAGTGGAACAATTATTACAGTAATTACATCAGCATAATCATGCTAATCTAACCTAATGCATACAAAAAACCACAACGGTAAAAATAAACTCCTATGTTAAATCACCTGGCTACACCTATGTTACAATGAAAGCAGTATCAAAATATAAATAAATTACAGTACAGTAGTTATTAACTTCAGTATCATCATAAGTGAATAGTATTGGTTCCAATAGTTTTATTGGTAGTTTGTTAACGAGAGATGGATGATTCATAATGATGGTAAATTACTTTATCAATAACTATCAAAACATCTGGCAAATATCATAAACCAGGATTTTAGGCTCACCTGCTTTGTCATGGTTTTGAAGGGCAGCGCTCCAAGGATTACTCGCTCATCAATATAATCAAACCAACGGCGTGATGACACTCTCTCCATAAAAACATTGAACACCAGTGATGGGATAAACGTTACTCGGGCGAACAACTTGCCCATGGTCTTGCTTATGCTAGAATGAGAAGAAGTAGCAGCGTCAGCAACTTGGCTCCTATATATATAGATGAAGATCATAATCTTTCATGCCTTTGTTCATTCTATATTTAGTCATAATAGAAAGAGAGTTGCACACAATACTTATTTGTCCAAAGGTTTATTTATAATTCTAGTGAGCTGATGAAAAGTTTTGATAATTTAGCTTCAAAATTTAAGCAATAACTTTTTTTATTTCATGTATTTAAACACTTACTCTAAACTACAATACTGTACAGTATGACTTTCACCAGGATGCAATCCATGACATTACCTACGTTGTAGGTACCTATTTATTGCTAGGTGAACAGTGGCATCAAGTGAAAGGAAATGTGCCCAACCATTTCTGTTCTGCCCAGGGATTGAACCTGGGATACTCAATTGTGAGCTGAGAACACAGACAATTTATATAGTACAATTTAATTATATAAATCACAATTTAATACAGTACTTTATATATAGTACTGCATTTCCATTAAAATTAATTACACACTTTTTTAATAACCAAAAGGTTGCATATCACTACAATAATTCTGATTTACACGGTACTGTATATATTTTCTTTTGAAAGGACCGTATTACAGTGCAATATTGAAAAAAAATAATGTACATCTATCTTGTGGCAGTTGAAAAGTACTGAGATTAATTACTTAAAGTCTAAACATATTTTACATAATACAGTTTTCCTATATAATGGTAGCAAAATAGAAACTTTGAATAAAAAGATTAATACAGAACTAATGTGAGTGCTGGCAGTAAAGAACAAATATAGTAATATAAACGCATTTTATGGTGAAGTTACTGGTTACCAAACACTTAGAAAAGTTAGTGACCAAAAACAATATCTAAAATTTATTGCAAAATTAATGTTATGACTCAAAAGAGCAGACACTGTTTTATAAAATTACACTAAAATGGAAGCTATACATACAATACCCACAGAGATATTGAAAAATAAATGTGTTAAGAGATTTGTCTGAAAACGAAGTCCTTATGCACCCTAACACTGGTCTGCAGACAGCAAAACACATCACCCAATTATAGAAATTTTGGCAGTATGATTATGCATATTATAGACTATATTGTAACTCTCTTCATTTACATAAAATTAGGAAATACTCCTAGAATAACAGACCTAAATCTTGGATGTTCAACCCCCCCCCCTCCCCCTGGGTGCCTAAAGACTAGTATTCAAATAGCGTCTGGCAGTTTAATTCTCATAAAACAGAGCATTCTCATGGGACACAGTTGATTGATGTGTCAATATTCTTTAAAGTAGTTTCATATTGTGTGGTGAATTTGTTTGTTTTCCTTTCTTCCCGTGTATTATGTAAATCGCACATTAGACACCCATGTTTGGTTACTCATTTCTTGGGAACCACTAACCATTATGTATGGTAGCATTGTGTGTTTGGTATGTCAATGGCATTTTTAATTGATTGATATATGGAGATACAGTACTGTACATTATTTTTCAACCACAGAAACAGGCAAATTTTATGATTGGTCTTTGGACACCTTTTGCTACACATTAATAACTATTTCTAGGTGTCTACCAAAGTCAAATAACAGTTTAAAAACTATACATCTGCCTGAAGATAGAGAGACCAAATTAAATCAAATATAATCCCTTTAATTTGAAGATAAAACAAACTTCCTAATTAGTCTCCCAAGAATCATGGAAATAATAATGTTACACTATGTTTTTAAACTACTGTATATTGAAATAGTGCCTGGCATTTTTCTGATTTTGTTTTATTGGTGATAATATTTTTTTTTTTAGACACAGATGTCTGGAGACCAATAACCATCCAAACCCCCAATTACTTTAACCTATGTGAAAAAGACATTACAGACATACTGTACAATTTAGAAATGAGAATATGTGCATAAACAGGCAAAAAGATACAGCAGAGATGGCCCAGTGAAAAGGTTGAATGAGTGCATGTTGTGATCCACCTTAGCCAGATTAATAGTAAGATAAAAGACAAACAGTTTATGCAGGATTAACAATACAAAAATAATCATGGAAAATATGCTGTTACATAACAATTTGCAAATTCATCAGGAATATTAGGTAATTCTGAGCCACCCATGATGCTGGATGCTTCATCTGAAAAATATATTTCATCTGTTACTCTTAATTAAAATGTATGATGGAAAGGGTTTGGGACATAAACCTGACACTAACAATCCTAACAAGCCAAAAAATGAAATATAAAACTTCATTTTATTTCATAGTTTTATATTTACAACCTAACTTAACCCGGCCATGTTCAACGAGGAGTCTGCAGTATGGTGTGCTTATGGCAAGTCAGGATCATAGCTTGTTAGGATTATGACTTGTCAGGATTTTGGCTGTCGGTATTACAGATGTGCAGGGTCCTGACCAACAACGATGGATAGAACATATTGAAAATTAACATTTTAACACAGAGTGCTAAACGAGGAGTTTAGCACTCTTCGTAACCTTCGTAATCAGTCTCCATGGTGTAGTGGTAAGACACTCACCTGGCATTCCGCGAGTGCTTTGTCATTTCGTATCCAGGCCGAGGAGGATTTACTGGGCACAAATCCTTAACTATAGCCTCTGTTTAACTCAACAATAAAATGTGTACGTGGTTGTAAAAACTATTCTTCATGGGGGTCGTATTCCAGGGACCTGCCCGAAATGCTATGCATACTAGTGACTCTTGTATATACAGTACAGGTATATATATATATATATATAAAAAAAGTCATACCGATCCAGTATGGGGAAGAGCATAAATTTCCTGATTAATACAAAGTTTTAAGTGGGTAACTAATATTTTATTGCACTGTCCCACTCTGCTTATGAAAGTAAAATACAGCATAGCACTGCCTCATGAAAAATAAAAGAGGAAAAGGGAATGGAGAGCAAGAGAAAGCAAATCCTAGCAGCCTCCTGGAACACACCCGAGCAACACACACCTGCAGGCAGGGTAGCTATGAAAATAGCTGACACCATTGTTGAACCTGTATGGGTTCAACAAATTCAAAGTTTGTATGGCAAAAACCACTCACTACACAAATTTCCAGTCAAATTGTAAATAATGTGAACATTTAGATAATTAATTTTTTTTAATTTACAAGTTCTTACTTTCATGTAAAACCACTTACACGCAAGTAAATAAATATCAAAAGAAGGCACCAAGCCGAGATGACGATATTACAGTCGCAAATTTATACACTTAAAATATGCAGATATAGTTGTTTTATATTAATATCATTACTGATGGGTATAGCAGGGGTACACGAGACAAAGTCAAATAAAATATAACAAGTGTAGTTAAACACCACTGTACCTTACTCAGCTCTAAGACCACTGCTGGTCTCCAAGGTTCTCAGCTCAACACCAAGAACAGGCAAGACTAAATAATCCTGCCCGAAACGCTGCGCGTACTAGTGGCTTTACACGATTGTAATTACTATATTATGTATCCTCACAATCCCAATGTACCTTCTTGTATATATATAAATAAAATAATAAAAAATAAAATAAAATAAAATCAATGAAATATGAATGTACATGAGAGAAGTCACTAACTGTACACTATGTGGTCCTCTTCATATATCTGACAGACGGTTTAATGAAACCTACAAGAGTACAGATGGAGAGGGAACGGGAGCAGGAATGTGTGGCCGGATACTACAAGACCTTGCAGTATCCGGCCTATGCAACATGCAACACCTGCAAGGCTACACTACTGCCCGAACACTCCTTATATACACACACAACCTCCACCTTCCCAACTACCCTAAACGCTCTTAAAGGACAGTATAAACGGCATACATTATCACAGACAAGACGGCAACAGGTGAAGAAAGTTAGGGAAGCAACTGACCCTTCACCTTAAAGACTTACTCCAAAAAAGTAGTAGTCATGATGCATGCAGAATACAGTATATATATTTATATATATATACTTTGCCCGTACAGATGCTATACAGTGGGTAGGGTGCCAATGAGAGGTGGTTACTGATGATGGTGTTATGATGTGTGGGTGAGGGAGATGAGGGAGGCTGCGAGGTGTCCCGGCGCCTGGGTTACCATGGTTATCTTCACCCCCCCTTCCCCAACACTATACACCTTATATAACACCTTATATTACACCATATATCACACACTCTCTCTGTATATATATTTATAATTAACTACTATCATAGCTGATGCTACTTTTGTATTAAATTTTACGGGAATACAGTACTCACTTTACCATAACAAAAACTAAATTGATATATTTATACAGTAGCTGTATAAAATAAATAGTTGAATTCGCATAAATTAACTTATTTAAAGTATAAACATGAAGTAGAAAGGCAAGTATTAAAGAGAAAGTGAGTAAAGTATTTTGGAATAGCAGGAGGGGGGGGGGGGGGAGAAGCGGGCCCCCCGAGCCCCTCCACGCCATGGGTTGCCAGATTGGGAGGTCCGCAAAATAACAATTCACTTAGGGTATATTACACTAACAGTAGAAGTCTAAGAAATAAAATTAACGAATTAAATGCTCTTGTCTGCACAGAAAAAATAGATATTATTGCACTTACCGAAACGTGGATGAATGTAGAAAATAGAGAACTATTAGCTGAATATCAAATATATGGATTTAAACTATTTCACACAGATAGATATATTAGACGAGGAGGTGGAGTAGCCATATATGTTAGGGACAATTTGAAATGTAGTCTCAAAGAGGGAATCAAAACAGAGCCACACACAGAAACTATTTGGATTGAATTAAACGAAAAAGCTAATAATATTATAATAGGAGTAATATATAGGCCACCAAATTTAGACAGAATGGAAGCAAAGCATCTATGGGATGAAATATCTAGAGCATCTAGATCTAACAGTATTTATGTCATGGGTGACTTTAATTTTAGCGGAATAAACTGGTTGAACAAAACAGGGAATAGTGAAGCAGAAGATTTTCTAGAATTAATTGACGATTGCTTTCTTACGCAACACATTAAGGAACCAACACGGGAAAATAATATTTTAGATTTAGTGTTAACTAACAGGGAAACGCAAATTAATGACATCGAAATAGGGAGTGAGCTAGGGAGCAGTGATCACAAAGAAATCAGATTTAGCATAGAATGGAATAGACCAGTAGGAGAAAATTCTGTTAAAGTGCCAGATTTTCGAAAAGCTGATTTTAATAGCCTAAGAAATTTTTTGGGTCAAATTGATTGGAATGGCTTGGGTATGGGGTGTGGGCCGGTCTTGGAGCGAGACATGAACCCAGCGATAGGTGACTTAAATGGGGATTTCGATGTGGATTCAATATATAACTTATTTAAGAATATTCTAAACAAAGCACAGGAACGTAGTATACCATACAAATTGAATAGATCGTATACTAATGACCCAAAGTGGATAACAAAGAATTTGAAGAACCTTATAGGTAAAAAGAGAGCTTGGTACAAAAGGATTAAAAATGGGGAGGTCACTTTAGAACAGGAATTCGTACAACTGGTTAGAAATGTTAAAAAAGAGATAAGGAAAGCAAAAAGAAACTATGAAGTTCGCATAGCAGGGCAAGCAAAGACAAATCCTAAAGGGTTTTTTCAGTTATATCGTACTAAGACTAGGGAAAGGATAGGTCCATTAAAAACTGAGACAGGTCAAATAACAGATAGTGATGAAGAGATGAGTAGTATTTTTAATAAATATTTTGTATCTGTATTTACTAAAGAGGAACTTAACAATATGCCTTCAGCCGAACAAGTCTATGTGGGTGGGGACGAGGACAGGTTGACGAGTTTAGCAGTTACCAGGGAGGATGTTCTTAAACAAATAGTAAAACTCAAACCAAACAAATCCCCAGGGCCGGATGAAGTGTTTGCTAGGGTGCTTAAAGAATGCAAAGAGGAGCTTTGTGACCCACTGTCAACCATATTTAATAAATCAATAGAGTCAGGCAGAGTGCCAGAGTTTTGGAAAGTTGCTAATGTGATACCAGTTTTTAAGAAAGGAGATAGATCACTTGCGTCTAACTATCGACCAATTAGCCTAACGTCTATTGTGGGAAAGTTACTCGAATCTATAATAGCAAATAAAATTCGTCTTCATCTTGAAAAACATAAATTAATAATTGAGTCGCAACATGGTTTTATAAATGGCCGTTCATGTTTAACAAATTTGTTATCTTTTTATTCTAGCATTGTTGAGGCAGTTGATAGTGGTAAGGATTGCGATGTTGTATACCTTGACTTTAGCAAAGCTTTTGATACAGTGCCACATGAAAGACTGATTAAAAAAATAGAGTCTCATGGTATTGGGGGTGCTATATTAAGCTGGATTAGGGCATGGCTATACCAAAGGAAACAGAGAGTTAGTATAAATGGAATCAAGTCAGAGTGGGAAAATGTTGTAAGTGGAGTGCCTCAAGGCTCTGTCCTGGGACCTCTGTTGTTTATAATATATATAAATGATTTAGATTCAGGTTTGAGTAGCAACATTTGCAAATTTGCCGATGATACGAAAATCGGTAGGGAAATTAATTCGGAGGAGGACTCACTATCACTTCAAGTTGATCTAGATAGGGTTTTGAAATGGTCAAAGGATTGGCAGATGCAGTTTAATGCTGATAAATGTAAAGTTCTGAGGTTAGGTAATGATGATAGAGTTACAAGATACGAGCTAGATGGTGTTGTGATTGCGAAGTCGGATTGCGAAAGGGATCTGGGAGTTATGATTAGTAAGAATTTAAAACAAAAGGATCAATGCATAAATGTTCGTAATAAGGCAAATCGGACACTTGGATTTATTAATCGCAGCGTTAGTAACAAGACACCTGGTGTGGTTCTCAAGCTATATCTTGCTCTAGTTAGGCCCCATTTAGATTATGCAGTTCAGTTTTGGTCGCCATATTATAGAATGGATATAAATTCACTTGAACGTGTCCAGCGTAGGATGACTAAGTTAATTCCCCAAATTAGAAATCTTTCATATGAAGAAAGATTAACAAAGCTTAAGTTGCATTCACTGGAAAGGCGAAGAGTTAGGGGTGACATGATAGAGGTTTACAAGTGGATGAATGGACATAACCGGGGGGATATTAATAGGGTATTAAAAGTATCAACACAGGACAGAACACGAAACAATGGATATAAATTGGATAAGTTTAGATTTAGGAAAGACTTGGGTAAATACTGGTTCAGTAACAGGGTTGTTGATTTGTGGAACCAATTGCCGCGTAACATTGTGGAGGTGGGGTCCCTCGATTGTTTCAAGCACGGGTTGGACAAGTATATGAGTGGGATTGGGTGGTTATAGAATAGGAGCTGCCTCGTATGGGCCAATAGGCCTTCTGCAGTTACCTTTGTTCTTATGTTCTTATGTTCTACTTGCGTCTAACTATCGACCAATTAGCCTAACGTCTATTGTGGGAAAGTTACTCGAATCTATAATAGCAAATAAAATTCGTCTTCATCTTGAAAAACATAAATTAATAATTGAGTCGCAACATGGTTTTATAAATGGCCGTTCATGTTTAACAAATTTGTTATCTTTTTATTCTAGCATTGTTGAGGCAGTTGATAGTGGTAAGGATTGCGATGTTGTATACCTTGACTTTAGCAAAGCTTTTGATACAGTGCCACATGAAAGACTGATTAAAAAGATAGAGTCTCATGGTATTGGGGGTGCTATATTAAGCTGGATTAGGGCATGGCTATACCAAAGGAAACAGAGAGTTAGTATAAATGGAATCAAGTCAGAGTGGGAAAATGTTGTAAGTGGAGTGCCTCAAGGCTCTGTCCTGGGACCTCTGTTGTTTATAATATATATAAATGATTTAGATTCAGGTTTGAGTAGCAACATTTGCAAATTTGCCGATGATACGAAAATCGGTAGGGAAATTAATTCGGAGGAGGACTCACTATCACTTCAAGTTGATCTAGATAGGGTTTTGAAATGGTCAAAGGATTGGCAGATGCAGTTTAATGCTGATAAATGTAAAGTTCTGAGGTTAGGTAATGATGATAGAGTTACAAGATACGAGCTAGATGGTGTTGTGATTGCGAAGTCGGATTGCGAAAGGGATCTGGGAGTTATGATTAGTAAGAATTTAAAACAAAAGGATCAATGCATAAATGTTCGTAATAAGGCAAATCGGACACTTGGATTTATTAATCGCAGCGTTAGTAACAAGACACCTGGTGTGGTTCTCAAGCTATATCTTGCTCTAGTTAGGCCCCATTTAGATTATGCAGTTCAGTTTTGGTCGCCATATTATAGAATGGATATAAATTCACTTGAACGTGTCCAGCGTAGGATGACTAAGTTAATTCCCCAAATTAGAAATCTTTCATATGAAGAAAGATTAACAAAGCTTAAGTTGCATTCACTGGAAAGGCGAAGAGTTAGGGGTGACATGATAGAGGTTTACAAGTGGATGAATGGACATAACCGGGGGGATATTAATAGGGTATTAAAAGTATCAACACAGGACAGAACACGAAACAATGGATATAAATTGGATAAGTTTAGATTTAGGAAAGACTTGGGTAAATACTGGTTCAGTAACAGGGTTGTTGATTTGTGGAACCAATTGCCGCGTAACATTGTGGAGGTGGGGTCCCTCGATTGTTTCAAGCACGGGTTGGACAAGTATATGAGTGGGATTGGGTGGTTATAGAATAGGAGCTGCCTCGTATGGGCCAATAGGCCTTCTGCAGTTACCTTTGTTCTTATGTTCTTATGATACCTAACTAGCTTTCATGTGTCCGGACACCGGCGATAGGATTGTATTATTTAACTTTAAAGAGAGATATTTCTTGAAATGTTGTCACATTAACGTCTACATCTTCCTTCCTTCTGACATATAGATTTTAAGGTTAATTAGCATATATGGAAATAAATTACACAATTTATTGTGTAATTTAATACTCCCCAAATTTGTATTTGTAATTTGACCTCCCCAAAAAATGGGGAGGTCACTTTAGAACAGGAATTCGTACAACTGGTTAGAAATGTTAAAAAAGAGATAAGGAAAGCAAAAAGAAACTATGAAGTTCGCATAGCAGGGCAAGCAAAGACAAATCCTAAAGGGTTTTTTCAGT